GTACAGTTACCAACCTACTTCTCAGAAGCACAAAGTGTACCAAATATTTTGAAAAAGCAGAACAAAGCCGCCAGCTCATTACGTTACCTACCAGGGCGAACAACATCGTACTTAGTTTTTTCTTTATCTAGCTAGCAGAAAAATCAAGGCATGTAACGGCATCACTACACTTTGTCATTTTCATTTGTCCAGCTTCTATCAAGAGACACCAACTGTCAAAAAATCCTCTCTTTAGTGTGCCTTAATTCTTCAACCATATTGAACAAGCAGCATCGGCTTCAGAACGGCCAGCCAGAAGAACATGGGCACCAAAACCTGGACTAAGATTTAAGCAGTTAAGCCCCACTAAGAGGGAGACCTGAACACTCCTGTTAAACTTTCCTGCACTCAAACATGGCTGGTATTTAGGTTTTTGTCATTAAAGTACCCTAAGTGCCCAGAGACTGGATAACACACATGGTTAGCAACACTTTAGTCCAGCGGAGTGCCTTAGTGTTTTAATCCCGCCTAAGACATACAAATCTAATGTACGAAGAAAATTCAGATTAGCATATAAGAGTGCCCTGCACTTTGCTCAGGGACTGCAGAGCCCAGAAGACAAGTGCTCTCCCTCCAAGATGTACTCAGTACGTTGCAGAGTCACACTGGCTCTAGCTTCTTTCTTCTCAGCCCTGTCAAGCCTCCATTTTTACCTCCCTGTGCACCTATCTGTAGGCCTGCAATTCATAATTTTGAAGCAAAAAGATGGCACAACATCTACAAATTAGTGTTGCAGAGCATGCTTACCTGACATTACATCCCAGAAAGCACCAAAGATTCAATCTTCCTCTCAAAATTCAGTACAAGGCCACCTGAGAACAACTATCTTATGACTTGCAACTAAAATTAACAAAAATCTCGGAGCAATTTCTATCAAAAGACAAATAAAAATTAAATAAAATCTGCATAGACTTCAAGCTCCTCTTCAATGAACACCTCGTGACATCACCAGAATTTTTTATACACAGATCTACCATCCTCTCCTTGCTCTGTTCTGTTTTGGTTAATCTTATGAAAATACCAGTAAGGTGGCAACTCTAAGACACTGGGATGAACAGGATTAAATTTTAAAGAAAGCATACAGGAACTAACTTTTGAAAAAAAGCATAAAACCTAATATTTAACACACAATCACTTGTAAGTTAATGTAATTCCTCTCTTTCTGAGCTAAGACTTTCAAAGCTTTCTTCTTTTTTTGAGTTTTAAAAATAGATATTCATCACTCAGACCTATGCTACATGAACTAACGGTCTTCAATTACATTCTAATTCAGAAATGAAGGTATGTTTTTTGCAGAGAAAAGCATGAATACCTAACTCCATAAAAAGCTTCCCAGTGAAAAAGAGTCGGCTATTGCTATCTAGCTAATTTAAAAGGCAAGATCACCTGCCTTAGTTTTGAGCATTCTAAGGAATTACTACATAATTTAGGATAAGGGTACTTATTCTTTGCAGTTGCACTGAGAAGCCATAACCAAGACTCTAAAAAGCACCACACACTGCGTACATTTTGTAGGTCTGCAGTTTCAATGAAGACATCATGAAGTGGAAGGAAAAACAAAATAGAGACACAGATTACACATCCAAGGCCAGCAAAAGGGTAACCAAGTAGGTGCAAGACGTGCTTGAGGAGGTAAAATAATTATCTCTGTGCAGAGGCATCTGTGTCTCCTAGTCTGTGAAGCCTGACAAAATGAGGGCTTCAGCAGAACCCACTGGAAATAGCTTAGTACTGCTAACATATAACAGAGACTAGTTGCTGCAGCTGGATAGAAAAAAGTACTATAAAGTTCTGACTAATTCAATTGTTTGTGCGATAGGAGAAAAAAAAACCTATTACAGTTTCAAGTTAGATGAGGAAGAGAGACAGTGTCTTCCAGTTAGCATGTAATATGCACAGCATTCCTTGCAAGATGATGACAGAGTCTACAGAGTGGGAATTTCAAAGGTTATTTCCAAATCATGGAGACATTTGCCACTAAGATGTAGAAATATGAAAATATGACCAATTTCTCTAAATACCAAAAGACTGTAATAAAGTAATGTTCTTCACTGCTGAATCTTTTAAGGAGGCATTTCATTTTAAAAGCTGCAAAAATTAAATGTTTTGGAATTTTTTTTTTTGTAGGTCAGTTTCCTGACATAAGGTAGTTGAGAGAAAACCTCCGAAACACCTAAGTGGCTAAAGTTCTTGATACGCAGCTGTTTTGCATTCAGTGTTGCGAGAACCTTGCCACTGCAATAATTAACTGCCTGCATATTTCTGCATATAAATCACCACCTTGAATACTTTGCTGGCTGACGTAACATTTGCTGCAAGGGAATTAAGTGAAAACTTCTATAGTCAGATGCTCACCTCTGAGAAACAGCAGATTGAGAACACAGAAAAATGTTTAGGAAGCTGCATACAAGACTGCAAACCTCTTGCTGAACCAGGAGATAAAGATCAGTAGTGAACAGGCAAGAGACACTGTTGCCCTGAGAACTGTGCACAGCAACATCTGGCGGCCACCGAAAGGGCAGCTGCAGTGCCTTGATGTCTACGGGCTGCAGCTTCTACCAAGAACAGAAACAAAAGATACTTTTCCTCACCGCTGCTTGAGCTACTGTATTTGCTTACTAATATGAAATCAGTGTTTCTTCTGGGTTTTTGTTGTTATGAATGTGTCATACATAGCTGGAATGCTGATTTTTAGTTTCTCTCTAAATTCTAGAAAAATTAAGTTACACAAAATCTTGTCTGTATGTGGTGTACTGTCTCACGTTGCGGTCATAAAAAACAAGACCAGGGAAAAATGCCATCTTCTAATCAAAAGGGAAAATGGTCACTTAGGGTGGATTCTTAGGACAGAAAACAAGTTATTTAACGAGCTTTCGGCTTTATTTCTGTTTGTTTGAAGTTGTCCTGTAGGAACAAAGAATGTCAGGGGAGTAGGCCCCTAGGCAAAATATGAATATTAGAACATTAGAAGAAAGGGATTGCATATTACATTAGAATAAAGGGATTACAATCGCTAAGCATGCGATGAAAATTACAATCTTTTGCCTTTTCAGTAGCTTTGCATAACATCACAGTGATTTTGAGTATTACAAAACTTTACAGCAATTAGTATATTCAGTTTACAAAGAGACTGCTAACATGTCATCTTTTCGACCCTCTAACTAAATGTGTCACCTTCGTGATACCCCCAAAAGTACTTCAACTTGAAAGACTCACAGAACAGTCTGGAAAAGTGAAAAAAAACCTCCAACTGCAAGTATGTGGGATTGTTAACTAGGTAAAACAATTAGCTAAATTGCAATGCCAGTAGTTTGCTGAGCTTCACACTATCAAGCTTAAGAAATATTAACACACATTGTCAGAAGCAACACCTGCTTCCGTTCAATGAACACAAGTGGGTACACACAGATGCACACAGCAATCTTGCTGGCAAAAGAGCTCCTGTCCCATGCAGAAAGCCAGGGGGCAGAACGGCCCCACTCCCCCTACCACCGTGCACGATTACTGAGTCTTCGTCACAGCTTCCAAGTCCAGACACCGGCCTGATTTCATCTGGACAGATTACAGAGCAGAAAGAAAGCACTGGAGAAGCAGCGATACACTGACAGTAGGGTTACAGACAGGAAGAACGTGAGAACCAATATCAAGTAGGGAGAAGAAGCAGCATCACACTCATTTTGCTGTGTATTCACAGCGCATTTAAAGAACTCTGAACAAAAACCCAAATTCTGACAGAAATCTAAGGAAGTTTTATTTCATAGAGGATGACAAATTACCTTTTTTTAAAAAAAAAAAATTGCTTAAATTATCCATAGGTGACCAACTAACGTTAAGTGTCTACTTCTAGAACTGAAAAACCAAACCAAACTACAAGTATTATAGGAAACCACCACATGCTGGACTGGAAGTGTAAAAATATGTTCTAACATAATGAAGCAGTATCATGTATACATACACCATAGAAAAGATGAAACTCCAAAAGCTATTTCCTGGTCTTTTAAAATCTACACTGTAAATCTACACATTACTGAAAGCACGCAACACTAAAGTATCCTTATAAGGTAAGTGGAAATATAATTTACCAAAGCTAGTAAACAGGAAGACACAACCTACATAAGAAAAATCACACGAACAGCCAAAGGAAAAACACAAGGGCTGCCAAGATTCCAATACTAAATCATCTGCTTGCATGAAATACTTATATTAAAGCACATTTAACTGATACACAGCAACTCTGGCAATCATACAGTGTCAGGCATGCAAACTACGTAAATACATGCACATCCCACCAGCAGACACCGCCAAACTGTAACGGGTGAGTAACGCTTAACTTCTAAACTTGCAACCTTTGAGGAACTTGAAGCCAGACTTAAAACAATGCAGAAGTATCCTCTGACAACCTATTTACCTCAATCCATTAGCATGAATCTTGGATGAAAAATAGGAACTAAAACAAGGATATGAAAGTTCAGTTTACATTTCAACAGGACAGAACTGGGAAAATTCTATTCTCTCTTACATGGGTTAGAAAAAGAGAAAAAAAGCATTCAGATACGCTACCTTACTTTACACCAATATAAAAGAGTAAAATCTGCTCAACTAACCTCCACTTAGAACCTCTACTTCCCTCTGTTTTTATCTTTGAAACAGTTTACTTAGCTCCAGGCTATTCTTCTGGATCTATAACATCAACAATGATTAAAGTAACAAGCAGAAAAAAATCCTAAATATGCTGGATTTTTTTTAAACCTCTGCAGGGCATTTACAATGAAAAATATTTGTAGAAATCAAGAAGCTACAACTGACTTAAAAATAAAGAATTCTCAGGCTAATCTCTATCTTGTTTTGGGGCGGTAAGGAACATCCACTGAATCACTGCAATTCTCCAAAAAGTGACTGCGGTTTTTAAACAAACAAAAAAATATTCTGTTATGCCTTCCGAGGTCTCTAGAGCTACTTACAGTTCCAGAATAAGAATGACATCTGTTTTGTTCTCATAAACATCATGCAGTGTGATCACATTAGGATGTCGTATCTCTTTTAGTATGCCGACTTCTCGCTCAATATCTTCCCGGCTCACTCCGCGCCGGCTGGATTTCGTTCTCCGTTTCTTGATGAATTTTGCTGCAAACTGCTGACCAGTGCTTTTCTCACGGCATTTTTTCACTACAGCAAACTGCCCACTGAAAAAAAAAAAAAAGAAAAAAAGGGGGGAGGGGAAGAATGTAGATGAGTGTCTTTAAGAAGTTCAGAGTTAAGAGTAGTCTCCATTTACTATGGTGGGGGAAAACAGCTGTACTTCTGAATTACCAACTCAGCTAAAGTACATTACTGCTTTCTATGCAATCTAGAATAATACCTGAAAAAAACCCCATAGGAGGCAAAAAAGATAAGTTAACATAACTTTTTACATCGCACAAACGTACACACGTAGACATTTCAGCATATCCCTAAGTAGAAGGTAACACCTATGTAGACCACTGGATTTTTGACAAATATGTGCATTGGGGATTACAGGGGAAAAGTAATGGTTTCTGGATTCTCCCTCCATATGCATGTTGAGGATAATTTTTTCTTGTTCTGCAAGAGACACAGTCCTTAGTTTCTTCCAACCTATATGACTTGTCGATTAATATTCACTTTATTCTGTCTTCGAGTTCATTTTTTTATGTTTTTAAAACAATACTGGGTTTCAGAACACTGCTTCGGTCTTTAGTTTTAAAAGCACGGACTAAAACAGTAACATCATTAATTATAGTTATTATATCATCTTAAGTAGGAAGAGTTTGAAGGTGAGAAAAACACCAAAACACTGAGGAACAAAAACCCGTGATTGTGTTAGCTGCTGTTCTAGCAGGTTATCACTGACATATAAGCCTGTTACTGCTAGATGTACATGCTGATTCAGATCAGAAATCTAATGCCGAGTTAAAGCAAGAACAGGATTTCTAGCACTGCTGAGTTTTCCTTTTAAGTTTTCTTCATGTCTTGCTGAGGATTCTCTAGCAATTCTGTTCTTGGTTTGTTTCACTGTACAAAGAATTTGCAAAATTACAGAATGACACCAATGAGAAAATTTTTGAAGTTAGCACGCCCTGTTAATTGAAGAAGTGGCATCCCCTGAAGTAGACTTAGAACAGTGGTTACATCAAACCTAAGCCTAGTAGGCTTGACTATCCATACATGATGTAACATGTAGGCATGCATAATTCCACCCAGTACCTGGAAGAGGAGCTACCCTGTATTAGTGGTTAATTAATTAAAACTGACAGAGAGATCTCTAGGAAGATGCATCACCCACAAAAGGGCATCACATAATGACAAAGTGGCAAGTGGGAATCACTCAAAGCTACTCATCTCATGCATGAACTCAATGCACAATACTGCTTTATTATTGGAGAATGAACTTGTGCCAAATACACCAACAAAGTAATTAAGCAATTAAGGAATGCATGACAGATAGAAGATAACTGATCAGCAACAGTGTTATGCAATAAATGAAGGTAACAAAATGCTGTAAAGGAAAAATAACACTCATAATTTTTTAATTTAGAGGGCTAATCAGTGGAGAATAGTTTACACTGCTGGGTCACCACTGCCACCCATTACTATGCTGACCCCATAGAGAACCCCAAATGAAAAATTGTCTTGAACTGGAACATGCATTTGGGCATGGCTACATGACTGTCACCTGTAGAAGGCAGGGCAGAGATGGATTCCCTCCTGTGAACTCCCAGAAAGGGACTCTAGTAGCCATGACCAGCTGGGGAGCCTTTGAACGCTGCCATGAAGAAATAAGAGAAATAAACTCCAAGAGAAGGAGTCAACAGTCTTTCAAGTTTTGAGGTTTGGTTTTATTCCAATGTTATGATCACCATTCAAGTCTCATTCTTCAGTATTGCTCCTCTTCCTCATTACATATAGGCTGGAAAACCTGCTTCACTTATCTAGACTTGGTCAGCTAGTGCTATCTGAGATGCTCTTGGACACTTAAGACATTCATACACAACTGGCAGATAAGGCACAAGGACATCTGGAAGATCTGTCTCATCCTGAACTGACGGCAGAGGGTTAGGCAAGGTACCCTAAGGTACATCAACCCTCTCTGCTTGGTTCAGTTCAACTCCACAACAGCTCCTCCTGCAAGAGTGGCTCTGGGTTTATCTTCAAGGTCTGAGTAATTTTGCACTGTAGGAGAGCCAGCCAGAGCGGAGCATGCACTTGGCTATTTGCACTGCTATGCAGAAGGGCAAACAAAGCCTTCTGGCCCTTGCTTACAGGGGGGAAAAGCAGCACTTCACTTTCTCCCCCACAATGTGCACCTCTCCACAGAGATATTCAGTTTTATTTAAAAAGCAATCAGGTTTTCAGAAAGCTCACAGTTATAGAGAAACTGCAGTTGGGCAGTAAACAGACGTAGGCATCACCACAACTCTGAACAGCTCCTCAAGCTCACAGACCAGAAGGAAGTAAAAAGACATTGCTTGCCTTTTGGCTACCTGTCTGGCTTTCAGGCTAGTGATGCTCACCTCCTAAGTTTGGCAAAAGCCATTCCTTCATATAAAAAAAAAAAAAAAAAAAAAAACAAAACCCAAAAAAAAAAACCCAAAACCAAACAAAAAAACCTGACAATGCAAACCAAACAAACCCAACAACAAGAACAACAACTCAAAACACTAGAGAGCAAAATTACTTCTAACATCAGCTCTGGAGAGGCTGGGACTGAAAAGTGACTCTGAAGTACATGGTCACACAATACATTTTGATGCCCAAGAAGATTTAACTATAAAAGTTGACTGGGATTAAGAGTTCTTGATGTTTCACTGATAAAGCATGTTATCACTGACTTTAGGAGAATTCTGGTATTTGAATTTCTGATCTTCAGCCCATGAGAGAATTTTTCCTTTAGTGCATCTTCACTGAAGAGAGTAATGCATTTTAGGCTTCTTCCAAAATTAAAAACATTTCTGCAAGTGTTTTTAAACATGTACTGGCTGTGGATCTATAAGCTAAAGAAAGATGACTTTTCCACAGTATTATTCATATTTGAATTACACCATTCCCAAAAGCCACTTCATGTTTCTGAAGCATTTAAGGCCAAGGCTGTTTAATGTTATTTTGGCAATGAGTCAACTATGATGTTACAGCATAAGGCTGACCTACTGAAACAAAGGGGACCAGGTAAGACAAGTAGATCTCCTCACTCCTCTTCTGAGCTATGTAGCTTTATTCTTTCAGTCTTTTTTCTCCAACTACAACCACCTGTTTGAAGGATGTACTGATCTATCACAATTCATTATAAAGGTGTTATCAGAAGACCAATACATTGTTTAAAACGACATTACTTTATAGACTGGTCCTGTCCATAGTTTATTAGGATGTCAGGCTTCAGAAATGTCTGACATTGCTCAAGACTGCAGAAAGTTATCAACTAACAGATATCTAGAACATGTGCCAGTTATACACCAAATAACCTTCTTACTGTTGCCGTTGTGGTATTCAGCACACAACTGCATAATTAGTTGTTTTTTATTAAATGCTGTACATGCAGATCACACTGAAGCTGCCATCAAAGCGGCTATTTAATGCCTGGGATCCCTAAGCCACACCATTTTAAAACTCTCTCTAAACTCCTGTTTTAAAAGCAGAGGAGAGGTGTAAATCAAAGGATATTTACTGGCCTTCCCATAGAACTACAGCTACAAGCTGTTACAGGTCAGCTCTGTATGGGCTAACGCACTTGTATCCAGTAATGTTCTCCCACAGATCCGACAGTTTTGGACCCAGCATTCATTCATGCAGTTTCTTCAAAGCCAGAAAAGCCCTTTAGATTTTTAAGAAGGGTAAAAAAGAAGACCCAGGGAACTACAGGCCAGTCAGTCTCACCTCTGTTCCTGACAAGATCATGGAGCAGATACTCCTGAAGGCTCTAATAAGGCACATGGAAAATGAAGGAGAGGTGACTGGTAACCAGCATGGCTTCACCAAGGGCAAATTGTGCCTGACAAACCTGGTGGCCTTTTATGATGGAGTTACAGCATCGGTGGACAAAGGAAGAGGAACTGACGTCATTTACCTGGACTTGTGCAAAGCATTCGACGCTGTCCCACAAAACATTCTTGTCTCTAAATTGGAAAGACATGGATTTGACAGCTGGACCACACAGTGGATAAGGAATAGGCTGGATGGTTGCACCCAAAGGGTTGTGGTCAATGGCTCAACATCCAGGTGAAGACCGGTGACAAGTGGTGTTCTTCAGGGATCAGTACTGGGAGCGGTGTAGTTTAACATCTTTGTCGTAGACATGGATTGAGTGCATGCTCAGCAAGTTTGCTGACAACAGCAAGCTGTGTGGTGTGGTCGACATACTGGAGGGAAGGGATGCCATCCAGAGGGACC